AGACCATACACGATATTGTCTGAAAATAAGAGCGATAACTATAGTAAATTTATATTCAACATTTCTAAAATTCAATAAAACATTAGATTACAGAGAATATTTTCTTAAATCTTTAAGATTGCTGAGTTCGCAAAAATTATAGAAAAGGGCGCCATTTTCTTCAATTATATTTTACGGAGAAAGTCCCTATAGAAAAACAGACCTGTCAACACGTCAAGAACAATTTTAGATTTGTCATCACGCTGTCAGCACATTAACACCTTAAACACACAGATACTGCCAGATAAAAAGAAATGTTTTTCTGTGATATTTTAAGCTTAAAGTAAATAATATCGATTTCAAAACAGATTAATTATACTTGAAATAAGCTAAACATTCAGAAAAGTATATTTAATTTCAGGAAGATTTTTTTTAATAAAGACAATTACATTTTAATAAAAGATGACTAAAAAGGCTGCTAATCAGCTATTATAGGAAAAATCAACTCCTTCCCGTGAATTTAAATTATTTTTGGAAATACATCAAAGTATTTTGTTTATTGGAAATACTAAATTTAACCTATTAGCTTGAAATAAAAATAAATAAATTAAAAGCCTCAAGAAAGAGATTTAATTTCTTAAAAATTTATTTTAAACATTAGGCATCGCATTTTTTGTGGAGGCTCTCTTTTAAACACGATGTTATTCTGAGTTCTCCTAAATGCATTTTAAAATTGGATGTTGAAAATCTTATAAAAATATTTTCTGCCCAATTAATTCTTTGTTCCGTTTTATAAGATATTCGTATTCATTATATTTTTGCAGGGACACCAACGGACACAAACACACCGGATTTGTGTGATGAGAAGCACCTAAATTTAGATGACTGGCCATGGGTCGGTAAGTAATAGCAGTTTATTCATAATATCCATGTGCATACGATAATATATATATATATATATATATATATATATATATATATTGTTTAAAAATATGATTCCTTCGCTACATAAGAGTTCTCATGTTCCAAAAACGAGAGCCGAAAACATCCAAATAATTATTAAAATTAAGTTGAATTGAGGTGTTTAGTCTCGTTTCATCTTCAAGCAAAATTTTAAGAATAAGCTATCTTTTGGTTTACGTGTGTTTTTAGGCATGGTCCGTCATAACATTCGTTGTTGTGGGGGTGGCTATGCTAGTTTCCTTCGTTAAGTGGTCAGAGAGTTAATTCTTATCTATAGATTCATCATCTTCTGAGAGGTTTTGCTAAGGTTGGGTAGGGTATCTATTTCAAGGCTAATGTTGGCGGTCATCCTTTAGTTGGTTCCCAATGCGGGATATTTTTATGGAGCGCCTACAAGTCGTTATGTGTCGTGATGATTGTGTTTTATTATTGTCCATCTGATTATCTATTTATTTATTTGTTTATGGGTGGGTGGGTGTTTTATATACAAACCGTATTGCACTGAATTTCAATTTGTTTTTTTTGTTTTTTTTGACGACCTCAGAAAGGGTTTTTCCTATTTAATGATTTGACTAAGCTTTTAAGACTTTTATTAAGCTATGAGATTTTTTTTATGCTAATTATTTAATGCGAAAGTTTGCTGATGTCGGCAAAAAAAACATTAACTCCTGCCTATGGTTTAATAAATTTCATTATTTAGAAATGTAATTTTTCGTGTACGCATAAAGGGCATGGGTCATCCCAGGTTTTACAAGTTCTTGTTTTATATACTATTTTCCATTTTACTTTACTTACAAAGCTGTACTTCTGTATGGAGCACTGTCTTCTTAAAAAATAAAAACAAAAATACTAAGGAACTCCGGATTATGCACCCAACCCAACGTGTTCTTTTTCTATTTTCTGCATACCTGAGCACTTTACACACACACACACACACACACACACACACACACACACACACACACACACACACACACACACACACACACACACATATATATATATATATATATATATATATATATTTGCAAATGTTAAATTATAAAAAAAATGTACAAATTTTATATTTTTCCGAGCGTTTCGCTTACCTATTTAGGCATTTTCAACGATGATATATACTGTTTACTGGAAATAGATTGTTGTATGTATGTATTTAGTATTATATAATGTTTTATGTTCAAAACAAAGTCTACATCTTTCTGACCATAGCTCTCATTAGGTCTCATTTAAAGGCACATAGAGACCTAATGGACCCTATTTACAATATACTTGCTGATAATATAAATAATGGAAGCCTTATAAAGAAAAAAAAATAAAACACACAATAAAATCAACTATGATCATTGACACAATATGTTGAATGTGCTTTGAAAATAAAAACATTCTATAATACTAAATAAATACATACAACAATCTATTTCCAGTTAACAGTTAATATAGTACATCCTTTAAAATAGTACATCCTTGAAAATAGTACATCCTTGAAAATAGCTAAATACCCATACACATACCCGACTTCCCTCTTAGAACTGAGGCCCTATTGAGTGGGTTAAACATAACCCCGTCTTTGGTATTGGGCGTTATCTCCAATTTAGAACACAACAAGGCTAGTGGTGGAGACGGGATACCAGCCATTGTCTTGAAGAAATTCGCGCCTGAACTGGCTTCCGCCCTTTCTAAACTATACAACTACTGCCTCAAGGAATCTTGTTTTCCTGACTGCTGGAATCCTCTTCGATTGTTCCTGTCTTCAAGAACTCCGGCGACCCCTCTGACCCTTCCAACTACCGTCCTATCAGTCTCCTTCCCCTCTGCAAAGTCTTCGAAGCCCTAATCAATACCGAGGTGGTTAACCACCACACATCCCATAATCTGCTCTCAGACAAGAAATATGGTTTCCGCTTTGCCCGATCTACAGCTGATGTGCTTACGGCCATCACTGAAACTGTCTACCAAGCTCTTCAAAATAACGGGGAAGCCAGTGCTGTGGAACTAGACATCTCCAAAGCATTTGATAGGATTTGGCATGCCGGCCTTCTTCGAAAGCTCCAGGGTTATGGCATTACGGGTCGATTGTATAACCTAATACAATCATTCCTGTCAAACTGTCAATTGAAGTTCGTTCTCAACGGTTTCTCATCCATTTCCTATCCCATGAACGCAGGTGTTCCTCAAGGCTCCATCCTAGGCCCCACTCTATTCCTTATCTACATAAATGACCTTCCTGACGCCAAAAATTCCCAAGTTGGCATCTACGCGGATGACACCACTATTTATTCTTGCCTCAAAAACAAATCTAGTGTCACTGACAAAACTAACCTGGCCGTGCGTCTCGAAAAGGACCTCCGATTGTGAACTGGGGCAAGAATTGGCTGGTCAACTTCAACGCTTCTAAAAAAAACTGCTCTATTAATCACCAAAGAGATCCTTCCCTGCCCTCCATTAGAATGTCTGACGCTCAACTCCTCGAGAGCACCTCTCTGCGGCTGCTCGCTCTCACGTTGACGGCTGACCTGAGATGGAACAAATACATTAAGTCAATTGCTTCGTCCACCGCAAGGAAAGTTGGCTCCCTGTGCCACGCCAGGAAATTTTTCTCCCCGGAATCGATCCTCCAGATCTATAAATCAACAATTCGCCCTTGCGTGGAGTATTGCTGCCATATATGGTCTGGTGCCCCCTCTATTTGCCTCGGGGTTCTTGATAGGCTCCAGAGCCGGATATGCAAAGTAGTTGGCCCTGCTCTGGCATCTCGTCTACAGTCACTTTCTCACAGACGCGCCGTCGCCTCCCTCTGTCTGTTCTACAAATACTTTCATGGAAATTGCCCCGAGGAGCTGCATTCGCTGTTTCCCAGACGCCATGAGTTCAAGCGCCCTACGAGGCTGGCATCCCGCTCTCACCCCTTCACTGTCGAAACTCCTAAATGTAGCCGTTTCTTCTACTCCAATAGCTTCATGTCTCGCACCTCTCGCCTGTGGAACTCCATTCCCTTTTCCTGTTTCCCTGATAGCTATAATCTCCAGCTATTCAAGTGTAATGTCAATCGACATCTCCAGATGCCTTGATCTTTCCACTACCCTCCTCCTCATCCTTTCTTCTATCACTCCTATCTGATCTTGCTCAAATTTTTCTGTAACCCCTTGCGTCCTAGTCGCTCCCCTCCTTGCTTGGGGTGAAATGCTTATAAAAAAATGTATATTCAGAAACGCACTGTAAAAATATATGACATTCGGACAGTTTTTATATAATTTATCAACTGAAAAGAAAAAAATATATATAAGATCATATGAGAAATTATATAAAAAACCTAATCAAAATAACTTGTCTGTCATATTTAATAAATCTTGTATGAAAGAAGAATTTCTGCCTAAATAAACAATATATATATATATATATATATATATATATATATAGTAGACAGCCGGATGTCATGTGCAATTTCGTTCTAGCAACTCCTGAGATGACGCCGGTGATAAGCCCTCTTGATACCTGCTTTTCTCTTGGGCAACATCGGTGGCGTTGGAAGGGGTGATGTACTGCATGGGCCACTGTCGATCTCTCATATATAATGAATACCTTGCCCAAGCCTGCACCCTGGAGAGGGCATAATACAGATCGATTGTTTCTCGAGACCGGAGTATACCGTATAGTGGTAGTAATAATAGTAGCATTATAATTTCTCTGAAGGTTATATTTGTGGATATATATTTTTGTGTAAAAACCCCGGATGTCTAATCAGTGCCAATTTACGCCAATCGTGATGTGCATTCAACAGACTTGATAAAGCCAGGCGTGCATTTTGATCGTTCAGCTTCCCTATTTAAGAAGAAGCACATCTCTGATTTGAAACCCTCGAAATCCATGCCTGTTAACATTGTTTTCGTCCCCGACACATGCATGCAAACATGGAAGGAGATACAACATGAATTTATACGTAAATCTATTGGAGAATATGAATAAATCCTAGAAATTTATTGTGATTCAATTCTTCATATAATTATAGACAACCGACATGCATAAATATAGATGATCGTTCACATAGACACGCAACGCACTCAGAGCGATAGATAGAAAGATAGATAGATAGATAGATAGATAGATAGATAGATCAATAGATAGGTAATAGAAATAGATAGGATAATAATAAATAAATACTGATATATATATATATATATATATATATATATATATATATATATATATATATATATATATACGGTGTCACAATAAAGTCAATATACGTCAATAAAGTCAATATACAGTAAAGTCAATATAAGTCAATAAAGTCAATATACAGTTACTTATAATAAAAAAGCAAAGCATTAAATCAGGTGGCTTACAATTCGAATAATATCGGTAATTAATTTACTATTTTTTAATATATAATTTTATTGTTATTAACCAGAACCATTTCAATAATACACTTCTAAACTGTTGATTAATTGCTTTGTCTTAATTGTTATCTAATTAACTGTGATTTTAATTAGTGATTTTATTGCGACCTATATATATATATATATATATATATATAGAGAGAGAGAGAGAGAGAGAGAGAGAGGAGAGAGAGAAAGAGAAAGGTGATAGTGAGATAATTAATGCAAATGCGAGATAGACAGATAGAAATACAAGGATATATATATATATATATATATATATATATATATATATATATATATATATATATATATATATATATAAGTGAACATGGAAGTCAACACTCAGAAGCGACAGCTTGTTTCATGCTGACGCATTCGTCAGGTCACGACTGCGTCCAGCATGAAACAGCCTGTCGCCTCTGACTGTTGGCTTCAATGTTCACTTTCATATTTATATTCGCTCTGTTTCTGATATTGAGCACTTTATCCCATAAATATAGCACACCTTAAAACTATATTTCTTCATATATATATATATATATATATATATATATATATATATATATATATATATATATATATACAGACATATATATATATATATATATATATATATATATTGACCCCTAATATTATATATATATATGCAGTACTGTGCTGAAAGTGATTCAGCAATAATTTTTCAATTATTTTTGACTTTAATTACAAATTAAAAAAATAGTTAATTTTTTTTTTTCTCAATTAAAAATATTCATATTATTAGAAAAATTAGTAAATAATTCTTTTGAAAAAAAAAACCATTAAAAATTACCATATTTTCTACTGTGCAAAAAAAGTGACTCTTTAAAAAATCTGTCATTATTTTAAAACACCTTGTAATATTATTTCCATAATTTTATTTCAGAATATTCTTAAAAATTCTCAAAGATTCTAGAATTATTTTAAACTATATAAAATCAAGCAAAAATATTAATTACTGATTTCTTATGAAAAACTCTAAACACACATCTGTTAAAGTAACAATAGATGCCGTATCAAAATCTGGTAAATTGGCTCCAGAAATTGACAATAGTTTTAACACATCTTAGTCAAGTGTCTCAACTTTTTTATGAGCTTCAATTCCGATGAAACATTTGTCAAGATAGGAAACAGGGGTAGAAAACAAGAGATCGATGAGAGATCTTGCCGAAAAATCATTAGAGTAATTAACCGAAACTGGTCAGATATTAGTACAGAAATTGCTGCTACCTTGGAAAATAGAACACCGACGTACTTAGGCACTACTTCGGGCTAGTGGTCCCATGACCACTGTCCAGGCACGACACACGTCCGGCTACGGCAGACGAAGGTATTACGCACATGCCTCTTAAGGCGCATTACGGGAGTCCGGCTACGGTAAACGAAGCGCTTCGACGGGAATTACGCACATGCCTCTTAAGGTCAACTCCTCTACTGTACGCCAATGTCTCTTGAGTGAAGGTTACAAAGCCTATTCAAAAGTTTTTAAGCCACTGCTAAATAAAACGCATAAAGCTAAACGTTTAACATGTCCTTCACTGAGTCTGATTGGAAAAATGTTCTTTTCTTCGGGGAGACTGGAATTGAAATGTTTTCAAAAGACAAAAGAAAAAAACGAAAATCAGACGGAGGAGCGAAGAAAACCCTTTGAAAATAAAAGTTAATACTGTGAAGCATCCTGTCAATTTTATGGTTTGGGGGTTGCTTCTCTTTCAGTGGGACTGGATTTTTGCAACCAGTAGACAAAACGCTGAACGGAACTCAATACTAAAAAATATTTGACACCTGCTTGCCGCCATCTGCCGAAAAACGCGAAATTGATCAACGATATCTCATTTTTATGCAAGACAATACTCCCTGTCACACATCAAAGCAAATGAAAAATTAATTTTCCGAAAAAAAAAATGTCAATGTTATGGTATGCCCACCGCATTTTGTTGACCTAAACCCAGTCGAGAATTTATGAAGAAAATCATTCAAAACAAAGAATCTTTGATTGGAAATTTGATTGTGGAGCGGAACAGTTTGCGAGGAGATGACATCTGCAAAAGTCTCATTAAGACTATGCTGGACTGAGTCAACAAATTTTTGAAAAACAAAGGGGGAAACATAAATTACTAATTAAAATTTTCTTTTGTATTTTTATTTTACCAAATTATATTTTATATGAAAAAAATATTAGATTAACTTTGTACATAATTAATACAGTATAAAAAGTGAATCACTTTTTTTTCACAGTAAATATTTACATTAAAAACAAAAAATAACATCCTTTAGGTTTGTTTCTTAAGAGTTTTCTTTTTGAAAAATTGCAAACAGTGTATTATTTCCCTTATACACATTTTTTTAAAAACTCTATTTTTTATTTAAAATACTAACAAAAAACAAGATTCCGCGAAAAAATGACTGAGTCACTTATTTTTGCACAGTATATATATATATATATATATATATATATAGAGAGAGAGAGAGAGAGAGATACCGAGATACACAGTCTTAATATTTCGAACTATTTTTCTTATCTTGTTTGATACACTTGTTATTATAGGTACAACTTTTCTCCCAAGTACCAACTAGAAATTATTTACATTGTTTAGCTAATATTTGTTCCTCTGATGCTAATTATTTTTCGTTCCGGCTGAAGCTACCGTTTCTGATCCAGGGATCGAACTCAAGACCACTAGATGACAGTAAGTTGTGTACAACCAAAACTTGTATTCACTATGCCACTGTCCGTTTTGGGAGCTTTTATTCAATCTCAGATGGTTTCAACATTTTATGAGAATGGCCGTTTCGTAATACTTTTCATAATTTTCATTGGATCAGTTTGTGAAACTCTCATTCAACAAGAACGAAAAAATTTCCAGCATCTTCTAGAAATCAGAATATATGCGGTTATGGCTCCCCACATCTTTCTATATTATATGCCACTTCTTTCCGCTGTCCATTCACACAAGCTTATCAGCTCAGTGACTCACTGCCTTCCCCTATCTGTTTTACTCTAAATAGCATCCGTGAGGATTCATTTTTCAAAGTCGCTTTGTCTCATTATGTTTCCAAGGAATTTTCAGCATTTTTTCTCGATTCTTGGTCTAAATGCTCTTTGTGTTGCCATTTTCTTTTAGACTTACTTGCAACTTACTCGCGACGCCCATGCAATTTTAAGTACCATTCTATAGAACAATATGTCTGCTACCTCTAGTTGTCTCATCATCATTGGGGAGACTGTACAACATTCACTGCCACATGGATAGATATCACATATCAATCCAGAAACTGCTTTCTTTGTTTCTAACATTTTTTTTTCATTTTTCAGCTTAGTTTTTAGAATATTTCTTACGCTAGTCAAATGCATGTCCGAATCTAGATGTTTGCACTTTTAAAACACTTTCCAGATATTTAAACATCTGCAACATATCGATGTTTATATTGTGTTTTGTTTCTCTCTCTCACTGATGACCATACATCCTGTCTTCTTACAGTTAATGTTAACTCCTTTTTTTGGTTTGGTTTGGTTTACGGCATATCAAACTCAATGGGTTATTTACTGCCGACAAGATTTTTATTGCTGGTAATTTCATTTTATTTATTTTACAAAATATATTGTTGGCAATATTTTTTCAAACGTATATTGCTGGTATTTTTTTTTTTCAAAAAATGTATTGCTGGTAATTTTTTTTCCAAAATATATTGCTGATAAATTGTTGGTAATATTTCAAAAATATATTGATTGTTATGGTTTTTATCCCCAAAAAGTATTGCTGGTAATATTTTCCTGATCAAAAATGTATTGCTGATAACAATTTTTTGCTCAAAAATGTATTTCTGGTAATAATTTTTCCTTCAAAAATGTATTACTGGTAATAATTTTTCCTTCAAAAATGTATTACTGGTAACAATTTTTGCTTCAAAAATGTATTGCTGGTAACAACTTTTGCTTCAAAAATGTATTGCTGGTAATATTTTTTCCTTCAAAAATGTATTGCTGGTAATAATTTTTCCTTCAAAAATGTATTGCTGGTAATAATTTTTGCTTCAAAAATGTATTGCTGGTAATAATTTTTTCCTTCAAAAATGTATTGCAGATAATAATTTTTGCTTCAAAAATGTATTGCCGATGATAATTTTTCCTTCAAAAATGTATTGCCGGTAATAATTTTTCCTTCAAAAATGTATTGCTGGTAATAATTTTTTCATCAAAAATGTATTGCTGGTAATAATTTTTGCTTCAAAAATGTATTGCTGGTAATAATTTTTTCCTTCAAAAATGTATTGCAGGTAATAATTTTTGCTTCAAAAATGTATTGCCAATAATAATTTTTCCTTCAAAAATGTATTGCCGGTAATAATGTTTCCTTCAAAAATGTATTGCTGGTAATAATTTTTTCATCAAAAATATATTGCTGGTAATAATTTTTCCTTCAACAATGTATTGCTGGTAATAATTTTTCCTTCAAAAAATTTATTGCTGGGATTAAAACCTATTTTTTGTTGTGGACTTGTTGGGACCAAAAATAAAGACACAAAGAGAAGAATTGAGTTAAACAAATATATTAACAGAAACAAGGACACAAAACAAATACAAACGTGCAAGAATAGTCGGTCCGAATGTCAGAGCTGGAAACTATAATCTGGAAAAGGCACTGGCTGCTCTTATTTATAGATGGGAGAGTTCATGCCTGCATGGGTAAATTATCAGAACATTTTTACACTTTCATAGTGTATTGACCCCAGTTTGGGGGTCAACTATTTGTCCATAG